GTCGGATAAAGGAATTGCTTCTTCGGAAAGTACGATGCTGAGGAAATTTTTTATCGCTCGCATTTTCAGATGGGCGAAACACGATTAAAAGAAATTCGTGATGTGAACGGTTTCTTTCATCAAATACTACCGAAAAGGTTAACGATGTAATTAAATATAAAATTGCGGACTAAAATCTGAGATGACTCTTATATTTCATGTCGTAAAGTCTCATTAGGAACATTTCGGAAACTTTCATCAGCGACTGTATTTTTCTCAGGTGCATGCTCCTCAATAATTACTTTCCCTTGATCCAGTCGTGCAAACAAACAATTAATCTTTTTGATCGAAGTGTAATTACAACCGATGTACTACACGTGTTTCATAGATTAAAGGCACAATATACTCTTGCACTATAGTCTACCTCTACTTCAAACACCCAGTGTTACAAAACAGTATACACTTTATCCCGAATACAGTACCTGTGACAAGTCACACAGGATTTCGAGCTAATCTACCATACATGAGGGTCATTTCAAGTTAACCTACCTCGTATGAAGATCATTTCCAGTTAATCTACCACATGGCAGGTTTGAGTCACACATTAGGATCATTTCCGCTTATATTAAGCGGATCATTTATATTCAGATCATTTCGATGACAACAGAAAATGAGAACATTGTTGGAATTTGAAGGAAAAATCTCGGATTCTACGAGGTCTGTCGATGAAAACCAGGGACATGCACCTTAAACTCGATTACGGAGGATCAACTGGTCCGTAAAGACGGGGCTGGCTTCATATCCGGAAAGATCCATGTGCGTGTTCGCGTATAAGCTTTCGAGTACGCTGGTAATCTGGTCCGAGAGATACGGGACGTCATCCTATCGTGCATCACGACGTGGCTGCATGCCCGAAGTAAGCCTATTAGCGCGCGGGCTTATTAGAGGATGCCATCTGACCCAAATTCCACGTTCCTATTGGCCAGAGGCGTAGCGAACCGCGGATACGCCTGATATGAATTTATGATTACGTTTTCCTACTAATTCTACCAAAATTGATGTGTTCGTTTGTACCGCTTTTTCGTTTCCCGCTTATCTCCGAATGAGGATTCTGCTGGGTGAAATGGTCATATAATGCTGGATGGAAGCTTATATTGGTATGATACTTTCCAGAGGTAGTCGTTTCATTTTAGTATAAAAATTGGAGAAGGATTTGGAATTTTGAAAAGTTATGTGGACTTTCTCGGGGCTAGATATTCAAATTTAAAATTGGGATTTGAAGATTATTTTTACTCATTTAATTTGCTATGAGCCTGGTTCAGATTGGCTGTAAACTTTAGAAATGAAACTTACTGAAAGCAATTTTATCCTTAACCCTTCGAGTACTGAATTATTTGAAGACTGTTATGGGACGGATTTAATTTATCGCTATATGGATTAATATGTAAAAGTCTTATTAAATTCAAATGACGCGTAAGACTCGTCCACCGTAACTTCGCGCAAGTAAACAGATAAAGAGTTTCACTCGTCAAATGTACCCAAAGGGTTAACACTGTATTAAAGCATTTATTCTTAACACTGTATCGCAAAGTGTCGATATAGCAAATCTCAAAATCTTCTCAATGGAAGAACATCCTCAGCGAAGAGCAACATAAATCAAATGTTTCCCATAAATATATCAATGATCATATTCCCAGAGGGTGATGCATTATGCTCGAAATTAACGCGTCGTCGCGGAGACTTTGATAAACCGTTGACCGTCGACCCTTTTGCAAGCAAGTTGTGATCGATAAAGCGGGTTTCGCTATTGTGGCAAAACAACGCGATATTGCCCGAACGTACCTATATCAAGACGAGTTTTGTCAGGCAAAATTGCGAGCGGAAACACCGGCTCGAACTCGTCGTGTCGGCGTATATACTCGTTGCACCGTTAAGCCGAAAATGCGCGAGAGCTTTCGTTTCGCCACCTCGTTCGTCTCGATTCGAAGCGTTCGGACGTACACGGGAAATTTGTTACGTTCGTCCGTTTCATTTCATCGTCACGCTCGCATTAATGTGAAAACGTTGTAGAACAAAAGCTCTTGTAACGATGCGTTTACCATCGTGTACGAACGGTAATTCCGTGTACCTACGTTTTAACTAAAAATTCGGGACCTTGTCCCGCGAATTTTTCTTTCGGTTTTTCACCCCGACAAGGTACAGTACACAGTTTCATTTTTGTGCAAGGGAAAAATTTGTACACGTATAAAATTGAAATACTGTACGTCAAATTTTAACGCCGGAAAGCGTTACTGAAATAATATTGCTATTTCAAAAGTAAGTTATTTTACTTTTTTCGAAATGCGCATTTTACTATACAGTTCTAATTTCAGGAAATTATGTAAACTCTACTTGCTTCTCAATTTAAAAATATTTACTTAATAATGGTGTATTTAACCTTTGCACTTCTTTATTTTTTTTTAACCAACCAACTGTTTAATTTATAAAATAGATCAAGACAGGGTTCTCAATATTAAAATATATATATTCGACCAATCTATTCTTTATTTTTTTTAACCAACCAACTGTTTAATTTATAAAATAGATCAAGACAGGGTTCTCAATATTAAAATATATATATTCGACCAATCTATTCTTTATTTTTTTTAACCAACCAACTGTTTAATTTATAAAATAGATCAAGACAGGGTTCTCAATATTAAAATATATATATTCGACCAATCTATTCTTTATTTTTTTTAACCAACCAACTGTTTAATTTATAAAATAGATCAAGACAGGGTTCTCAATATTAAAATATATATATTCGACCAATCTATTCTTTATTTTTTTTAACCAACCAACTGTTTAATTTATAAAATAGATCAAGACAGGGTTCTCAATATTAAAATATATATATTCGACCAATCTATTCTTTATTTTTTTTTAACCAACCAACTGTTTAATTTATA